GTCTCCTGCCCCTGATGGAATGCATCCCAGGGTACTAAAAGAGATGGCGGGAGAAATAGCAGGTGCACTGGCAGTAATTTTCCAAAATTCACTGGATTCTGGGGCAGTCCCAGCAGATTGGAAAACAGCAAATGTGACGCCACTGTTTAAAAAAGATGACAAAAGATGTGGAATTATAGTCCAGTTAGCTTAACCTCTGCAGTGGGGAAGATCCTTGAGTCTATTATCAAGGAAGAAATAGCAAGGCATCTTGATAGAAATTGTCCCATTGGGCAGACACAGCATGGGTTCATGAAGGGCAGGTCATGCTTGACAAATCTTTTGGAATTCTATGAAGACATTACGAGGGGGTGGACAATGGGGACCCAGTGGATGTGGTGTACCTAGATTTCCAAAAGGCCTTCGACAAGGTGCCGCACAAGAGGCTACGGCATAAGATAAGGATGCATGGCGTTAAGGGTAAAGTATTAGCATGGATAGAGGATTGGTTGACTAACAGGAAGCAAAGAGTGGGGATAAATGAGTGCTATTCTAGCTGGCAGTCAGTGACTAGTGGTGTGCCTCAGGGATTGGTGTTGGGACCGCAATTATTTACAATTTATATAGATGATTTGGAGTTGGGGACCACGTGTAGGGTGTCAAAGTTTGCAGATGACACTAAGATGAGTGGCAGAGCAAAGGGTGCAGAGGATTGTGAAACTTTGCAGAGGAACATAGATACATTGAGTGAGTGGGCAAAGGTCTGGCAGATGGAATACAATGTAAATAAATGTGAAGTCATACATTTTGGTAGGAGTTATAGTAAAAAGGATTATTACTTGAATGGTAAAAAGTTGCAGCATGCTGCTACGCAGAGGGACCTGGGTGTCCTTGTGCATGAATCACAGAAGGTAGATGTGCAGGTACAACAAGTAATTAGGAAGGCAAATGGAATTTTGTCCTTCATTGTTAAAGGGATTGAGATTAAAAGCAGAGAGGTTATGTTGCAGCTGTACAAGGTGCTGGTGAGGCCACACCTAGAGTACTGCGTGCAGTTTTGGTCTCCTTACTTGAGAAAGGATGTACTGGCACTGGAGGGGGTGCAAAGGAGGTTCACTAGGTTGATTCCGGAGTTGAGGGGGTTGGCTTATGAGGAGAGACTGAGTAGATTGGGATTATATTCATTGGAATTCAGAAGATTGAGGGGGGATCTTATAGAAACATATAAAATTATGAAGGGAATAGATAAGATAGAAGTAGAGAGGGAAGTAGAGAGGATGTTTCCACTGGCAGGTGAAGCTAGGACAAGAGGGCATAGCCTCAAGATTAGAGGGAGCAGATTTAGGACTGAATTGAGAAGGAACTTCTTCACCCAGAGGGTTGTTAATCTCTGGAATTCCTTGCCCAGTGGAGTAGTTGACGCAATTCAGATGACGTTTTTAAAGATAAGGTAGATTTTTTTTTGAACAATAAAGGAATTAAGGGATACAGTGAGAACGCGGGTAAATGGATCTGAGTCCACGAAAAGATCAGCCATGATTTTATTGAATGGCGGAGCAGGCTCGAAGAGCCGGACGGCCTACTCCTGCTCCTATTTCTTATGTTCTTATGTTCACATTGGCCCCATAGTCCTGAACCTCAGTCAGGACCATGCACCCCACAACCTGAGCTGCCTCTTGATTATGAGTAGTGTGTCTTTCCTTCTCACAAAGAGTTGCTATTTGTATAGGCATACCATCCTCCTATGTCCATTGCCCAGACATGTCTTGGGCATGCTTATTTGCCATCAGTTGGCAGGGATCCCCAGTGGAGGGCTCACTCCACAGGAGTCCTCCTGTTTTCCATCAGTGACGCGGTGTGGAGGGTGTTGCACCTTATAACTGCAGATTACAGCGGTTCACGGGCTCCCAGACAAGCTGTGTATTTTGCAGTGCCATAAAGTCCATGGGCCATTTTTATGTTGGTCGTGGGCATTTGCACTTCCTTTTCAGTTATTTGAAAAATCTTTTGTTGCATTCCTGGTTGCACTTCAGCCCCACGCTCCTGACTTTTGGGCACTTGGTGCGGAGGGGAGCGGGCAGATCGGAGGAACTCCTCATAGATCTACTCCTGGGCCTGGCCTGGCTGGATATAAACAGGTCCAGACAGCAGACCATAGGAGGGGGTCATCTCTGCTGCCTATCTGACCTTCTTCCATGGTTACTTTCATGACTGGACATCCTTGGAGAAGGAGCACATGGTGTCCACCATAGCTTTTAGAGAGAGGTGGACACTGTGGGGTATATAGTGCTTTATTTCCCCTCCAAGTCCATTTTGGTTTAGTCCTTTCCTGCTTTCCCTACCCCCTCCTTCCCTTTGATGGTTTGCATTGCCTATAACTGGCATTGAATGTAAATATTCAATTTCTATCCCTCTGCCGACACTGAAATGTTGATAAGTGTGAGGTCATCCATTTTGGTAGGAATAACAGCAAAATGGACTATGTTTTAAAGGGTAAAAAAATTGCAGCACGCTGCTGTGCAGAGAGACTTGGGTGTCCTTGTGCATGAATCGCTAAAAGTAGGATTGCAGGTGCAGTAGGTAATTAAAAAGGAAAATGGAATTTTGTCTGCCATTGCTAGAGGGATGGAGTTTAAAAACAGGGAGGCTATGCTACAGCTGTATAGGATCCTGGTGAGGCCACACCTGGAGTACTGTGTGCTGTTTCGGTCTCCTAACTTGAGAAGGGATATACTAGCACGGAGGGGTTGCAGAGAAGATTTACTGGGCTGATTCCAGAGTTGAGAGGGTTGGATTATGAGGACAGACTGTGTAGACTGGGATTATACTCTTTGAAATTCAGAAGAATGAGGGGAGATCTTATAGAAACATATAAGATTATGAAGGGAATAGATAAAGTGGAGGCAGGGAGGTTGTTTCCGCTAGCAGGTGAAACTAGGACTAGAGGGCATCGCCTCAAAATAAAGGGAAACAGATGTAGGACTGAGGTCAGGAGGAACTTCTTCACCCAAAGGGTTGTGAATCTGTGGAATTCCCTGCCCAGGGAAGCAGTTGAAGCTACCTCGGAATGTTTTTAAGGCAAGGCTAGATAAATTTTTGAACAGTAAAGGAATTAAGGATTATGGTGTGCGGGTGGGTAAGTGGAGCTGAGTCTCAAAAAGATCAGCCATGATCTTATTAAATGGTGGGGCAGGCTCGAGGGGCCAGATGGCCTACTCCTGCTCCTAGTTCTTATGTTCTTATGTTCTCATGTTCTTAATTGTCTACATGGAAGTTTTGCTGGTGGTCGTTAGTAGTTTAAAGAGAAACAAAAGGGCCCTCTTGTGGCACAGTGGTAGTGTCCCTACCCTTGGAACAAGAGGCTCAGGTCCATAAGTGTATAATAACAACTTTGAGCAGGTTGATTAGAAAAGTAGGTATGAAAGGAAAATACAAAAATTAAGTTACACTGGATTTGGTGCTGGGAAGGCACTCAGTTGTGTGTGATAATACTTCTGGGTAGAAAAAAAAATACTGCAGATTCTGGAGATCTGAAGTAAAAACAGGAAGTGCTGGAGACCTGTTTTAATAACAAAGTCAGAGTTAGTCTGGCGTGCAGCAAGTTCAGAGGGAGATAGGTCAGGGTGGATGATGAGTGGAGAGATTCAGGCAGCCAATAATATCAAAGTCAGGGTTAGGACGTGAGAAGTCCTGAAGAGGACTCATACCCAACTCAAAACGTTAACCCTGTTTCTGTCTTTACAGATGCTGCCAGACCTGCTGAGTTTCTCCAGCAACTTTCTGTTTTTATATTAAACCGTTGTGATTGGTGAGAACAAGATTTATTAAACAGAGTTTAACCAAAGCTTGGTCTAAATCAGGTTATATTAGGATGAAACTTCCATTTTCTTAATCAAATGTCATCCAATTCACACAACACAATCCTGTGATCAAGCACCCTCTATTTAGGTGATAAGTAGTCCACATCTGAAGTCCTGGTCTATTTTTGATAGGACTTCAGCCTTTCAAACATACTGTGACAGTTTAGCCAATTACTGTTGCTTCATTAAGACCAGCAACCTTTCTAATCATTAGGTCATAATCTATTCGTTTAATCTTTTTCTCAACAAAGCAAGCTTCATGTGTTTAATGTTTTAACGAAGATCTGTAACTCAGGTTGCAGTTGGAATTGTTGGTTGATGCACCGAGCTGACTGGTTTTCATGCAAAGGGGAGTTGATTGTTGTTCCATTAATTTGTTCATATACCTGGCCATTGAAAGTGAAGTGTGTCATAAGGCATAGGTCTAGTAATTTCAGCATCTAGTCCTTGTTGATGGTTTCGTTGGAGGTTTGTGTTTTTGGATTGCCCAGTAATGCGACCAGTTTCTACTTTGCTAGTGTCATGTCAATAGAGGTGAATAATGCTGTAGCGTCAAAGGACACCATCATTTCCTCCTTGTCAATTTTTATGTTCCTGAAGTTGTCCAGGAATTCCTGTGCTGAGTGTATGGAGTGGGTCGATCCATTGGTGAGGTGTTTTAGTCTCTGTTGTAGCTCCTTGGCTCGCCTGTGTGTCAGTGTGTCCTGCAGGGTAACTATGGGTCTGAAGGGGATGTCAGGTCTGTGTACTTTGGGTAGTCTGCAGAATCAGGCGGTGTTTGATTCATCGGATTTCATGCATGGAAACCAGTCAGCTCAGCAAACCAACCAACAACTCCAAGCTTCATGTGTTTCTTCATTTAGGCTAACGCAGAAAATTTTAGGTTACTACCTGTGTCAGAGAGAAGGCAGATGAGTGGCCACAGGGCTTTGCGAAGCTAACATGATTCCAATGGTGAATGGAGCTCTAAACTGCACACATAGCTCTGCTTGCACTGCTACATCAATGGGGAGCAGTACAGAAACTACAAAGTCCTCCACTTGATGAATGCGAAGTTAGTGTGCAACAATAATTAAACTATAATGTTGATGACTGCCTGCTATGATGCAGCTGCCATGATGTTGTCTCTGTGAGATATTCTGTGATTCTTGCTATTTTCAGGCCATCATGAAGGACCAGACATGCACTGCTTGGAGACGAGGCCTTCCCTACCATGACCGACAATGCCTGTCTATCACCCAAACACACAAGTACAACTGCTTACAATGAGAGCCACACAGATATAATGGAGCAAATAATCAGCATCCTTAAGTGATGGTTCTATGAGCTGAACCAGTGACAACGAGACTCTTGACAGAATTTCAGTGGAAGGTCATGATGGTCTGCCCTGCTGCCCATAACCTCAGTGTTAGGAGGACTCAGCAATTACCACCAGCCAGATGGATACCATCTCGGGAGGATGATGAGGAAGGGGGGAGGCAAGGAGGAAGACGCCAGGAAACTACGCCCCCACTCTTTGTTCCAGCTGGCTGTCTGTGAGTATCTTTATGTAAAGATAGAAGACCCATTTCTCTTTATATAAGAAAAAAACACCTGCTTTCTGTTTTAAAAGATTTTAAAAAGTTAGAAAGCTTATTACAGAAATATCATGGCTCTCCTGAATGAACTATAATTTTTAAAATGTGAAAAAGCCAAGGCTTGCCTAAGAACAGAAATTGTCTCTCCAATGGCACGAAAATAGATGGAAGCATGCTTGGCATCATCATTCCATGTTTGGTGCAGATTCCATCCAGTGGCAGAAATCCAGTACTATATGCCTGTGTTTCTTAAGGGAGCAGTATCTAAAATGATGAAAGCCCAGTGAAGGTGCAGCAATAACAAAAATAAAGTAAAACAGAAGGAAAAATTTCAAATCTAAAGTTGATCTTACTTTTTGTACACCTTTGCTGCCATAACTTTGTTTTCCTCACTCTGTTCAATCACCCAATGGTCTTTGTGCCTTTGTATATTATGATTTGCTGTGCTGCAAGCAAAACAAATCTTTTCGCTGCACCTGGGTACATGTGACAATAATAAATCAAATCAAATCAAAGAAAAGGGGAAAATTAATGTATAGAGAAAGCAAAATAAGTAAAAGAAAGAAAAGAACAAACAAAACTTGCTCTCTACTTCTAAAATAAAATCAAATACTTTCAACAAGAATTGGAAGGCCAACATTAAACTGGACAGCCAATGACTCTTCCGCTGAACAAATAGTGTATGCAGCTCTATTTTAAAAAAACAAGTAACAAATGATCCTGAGAAGAGATCTCTGAAAATCTTGCTCGTCATCTACACAGGGGTGCATCAAAAAATTAATACAGCTGATCTTTGCGGGCAATCAGAAACTTACAGAAAAGATTTGGAAAGTACTACAAGACTATTTATCACATGGGATTCAGAGTGAGCTTGCCTATTGGAGAATGGTGTTGGAGGGTTTTTTTTAAAGACTAGAGGCCTGTTACCAGTAGTGTTCAACAAGGATTGGTCCTTGGTCTGCTTTTGATTGTAATTTATATAAATGATCTAAATAAGAATATAGAAGGCATGATTATTAAATTTGAGGATGATGCCAAAATGGGTGGTATAGTGGACAGTGAGGAAGGTTATCTAAGATTACAAAGAGATCTTGATAATTGGGTGAATGGGCTGAGGAGTAGCAAATGGAGTTTAATTTGGATAAATGTGTGCAATTGCATTTTGGTAAAACAAACTATGGCAGGACTTATATAATCAAATGCCTTGGGCAGTGTTGTAGAGGAGAGAGACATAGAGGTTCAGGGATGTAATTCTTTAAAGTTTGTGTCACATGTAGGCAGGCTGGTTAAGAAGGCATTTAGCCCCCTTTCCTTCATTGTTCAGACCTTTCAGTGTACAAGTTGGGAAGTCATGTTAATGTTGAACAGGACATTGGTGAGGCATCTTCTGAGCATTGTGTCTAGTTCTGGTAGTCCTGTTATAGGAAGGGTATCACCAAGCTGGAAGGGGTCCAGAAGAGATTTACCAGGGTGTTGCCAGGAATGGAAGGTTTGAGTTACAGGGAGAAGCTGGAAAGACTGGGACTATTGTCACCAGTGCATGGAAGGTTGCAGGGTGACCTCATAGAGGTTTATAAAATCATGAGGGGTATAGATAAGGTGAATGGAAGGTGTGGGTACAGTTACAACAGTTAAAAAACATTTAGGTAAGCACATGAATAAGAAAGGTTCAGAGAGAAATGGGCCAAGCACAGGCAGGTGGGACTAGTTTAGTTTGGGATTATGGTCGTCATGGACTGGTTAGACCGAAGGGTCTGTTTCCATGCTGTATAACTGTATGACTACAACTCTATGACAAACTTAAGGTAAGAATTTACTTCAGGATAAATAGATTCTAACAAATATCCACAAACCTATCGACCGGTTTTTCAGAAGATACTTCAGCAAAGGGCATCAGTGTGGTTTCTCCGAAGAAAACCTCTTTCAGATATTCACTAAATTGGCAATCACATCTACGCCAGTTAAAACCTTCAGGAAGGATCCTCTGGTCAAGGAAATGGGCCATACCATTGAGACATTATTTGAAGATGAATGGAAGCAAAAAGCCATAAAAGCAATTACAGGTTTTAGAAGCGGACCTCAGAACAAAACACAGGTGATCAAAAAGACTGTATGATACCACAACACCAGCAGTAGGGGAGTATTAAGAAGGTGCACAAAGACAAAGATAAAATGTTAGCACTGCTGCCTCAGTGCCATGGACCTGGATTCAATTCCACCCTCGGGAGACTGTCTGTGTGGAGTTTGCACATTCTCCCCGTGTCTGCGTGGGTTTCCTCCAGGTGCTCCGGTTTCTTCCCACAGTCCAAAGATGTGCAGGTGAAGTGGATTGACCATGCTAAATTGCTCATAGTGTCCATGGGTATGTAAGTTAGGTGGATTAGAAATGGGAAATACAGAGTTACAGGGAAAGGGTAAGGGGATGGCTCTGAGTGGGATGCTCTTCAGAAGGGCAGTGTGGACTTGTTGGGCCAAATGGCCTGTTTCTACACTGTAGGGATTCTATGAAACTCATTGATGCAGTGCATAGTCAACAGAAGAAAATGCAAATTTCAGAAGATGATGATTATGCTGTTCATCTGCTAGTTCCCTTCAATACACTCTGGTGGAGATTTTCTCAAGAACCTCCAGTAAGTTAGTCAGACATGAATTCCCTTTCATGAATCCATGTCTGGTTTTGGAAAGATGCCATATCATCAACCTCACACGCTACGTCCACAGTACAAGGCAATTACAAACAATTACAACCATTAATATCATAGATCCTGAAAAGGCAAATCAACCAAACTTAAAAGCTAAAATCAACACACACGCTACTGTCCATTTTTTATCATTGTGCACCCTGAAACAGAAATACCTAAGAAAGTACTGTCCATGTTGGAAAAGTATTGAAATCAATTATTAAGGAAATTATAGCAGAACATTTGGAAAATCATAATCTAATCAAGCAGAGTCAGCATGGTTTCATGAAAGGGAGATTGTGTCAGACTAATTTACTTGGGTTTCTTGAGGAAGTCTCAGTCAGAGTGGATAGAAGGGATCCAGTAGATGTGTTGTATATGGGCTTCCAGAATGTGTTCGACAAAATACTTTACAAAAGGTTAAGTCATAAGAGCCCACGGTGTTGGAGATAGTACGTTGACATGGTTAGAGAATTGGCTATGGGCAGGAAAAAGGCCAGTGGTTTCTGTTGCAGGTTGGTGACATGTGAACAGTGGGGTTCCATAGAGATCAATGCTAGGACTGAAATTGTTTACAATATATAAGACCATAAGACCATAAGACATAGGAGCAGAAATTAGGCCATTCAGCCCATCGAGTCTGCTCCGCCATTCAGTCATGGCTGATAACTTTCTCAACTCTATTGTCCCACTTTCACCCCAAAACCTTAAATCCCTGTGACAATCAATCAATCAATATATTGATGACTTGGAGGAAAGAAGTAAATGTATTACAGACAAACATGCAGATGACTCAAAAATAGGCAGAAAGGAAGGTTGCGAGAAAAATATAAACAGCTTATGGAGAAATACTGATAGGTTAAGTAAGTGGCAAACAGTTGGTAAATGGAGTATAATGTGGGAAAATGTGAAGTTGCTCATTTTGGAAGGGAGAACAAACGAATGGTATTATGTAAATGGAGAAAAACTGCAGAAAGCTGAAACACAGAGGGACTCGGAGGGTACTTGAGCATGAAACACAGAAAGCTAGTACACAGGGAGCAGCGGGTAATCAGGAAGGCTAATGGAATGTTGGCCCTTATTTCAAGGGAGTTGCAGTATGAGAAGAAGGAAGTCCTATGGCACCGTACATGGTACTGTTAAGACCTCATCTGGAGCACATGTAAGCAGTTTTGGTCCCCTTATTTCAGGAAAGATATAATTTCATTGGAGGCTGTTCTGAAAAGGCTCACTAGGATGATCCCTGGTAAGGAGGGATTGTCTTATGAGCAAAACGTGATCTGATTGGGACTCTAGTCACTGGAGTTTAGGAGAATGAGAGGTGATCTCATTGAAACATATCAGATCTTAAGGAACTTGACAGGGTAAATGCTGAGAGGATGTTTCCCTTCATGGAAGTGTCTAGGACCAGAGGGCACAGTCTCAGAATAAAGGTGCATCAATTTAAGACTGAGATGAGGAGGAATTGTTCTCTCAGAGGATTGAGAGTCTTTGAGCTTCTTGAGTGTGGTTGGGGCTGCACTCATCCAGACTAGTGGGAAATATTTCAACACACTCCTGACTTGTGCCTTGTGGATGGTGGACTGGCTTTGGGCAGTCAGGAGGTGAGCTGATCACTGCAATGTTCCCAGCCTCTGATTTGCTCTTGTAGCCACTGTATTTATATGGCGAGTCCAGTTAGTTTCTGGTCAATGGTAACATTCAGGATTTTAATAATGGGGGAACAGTGATGTTAATGTAATTGAATGTCGAAGGGAGGTGGTTATATCGCCTCTTATTGGAGATAGTCATTACCTGGCACTTGTATGGTACGAATGTAACTTGCCACTTTCCACTCAATGCTGGATATCATTCAGATCTTGTTGCATTTGAACATGGACTGCTTCAGTATCTGAGGAGTCACGAATGGTGCTGAACATTGTGCAATCATCGGCGAACATCCCCACTTCTGACCTTATGATGGAGGGAAGGTCATTGATGAAGCAGCTGAAGATGGTTGGGCCTAGGACACTACCCTGAGGAACTCCTGCAAAGATGTCCTGGAGCTGAGATGATTGACCTCCAACAGTAACAACCATCTTCCTATGTGTCAGGTTTTACTCTGAACAGGCGTCCCAATAGAAACCAGATAATTTGATCCTAAATTTGCCAGATTCAGGTTCTTTTTGAAACTATATATCAAGCATGGCTACTAGTCTATCCATTTACTGGAGAATTCCAGGGGTTCATTACACTTAGTTTGTCAAGTTGACTGTATTGTCTCTGATAGTTATCATT